TTCTCTTTTGGTTATGGTCGAATCCTATGGAGATTGCCTACGTATCATGACCCCGCATTAATCAGACCGAGCGTAGTTTTGGGAGATAAGTACGAAAGTAAATAAAATAATTTTAGGGATTTTCAATTTCTTAAAAAGCAAATTCTTTGATTACAGAGACTCAACACTAACAGACTCCAAGAGAAACTAACAAGCGCTGATGGAAAGATGAAATACAGACTCCAAAAATAAACTATCATACTCCGATGGAAGAAAATGCAGACTCGACAACGAATAACAGACTCCAGCAGAAAGAAAATACAGACTCAAATGAATTATTATGAATACATCAATGCTCCTGGTGCCCGCGGGACATCATTCGGTCTCGCCACAAGCCTATATGCAAGATCCCTTTGAAGTCGGTCCAAGTTACTTATTATCTGCTTAACAAATATCATCAGTACCGCGAAGAAGGTAGTGCGAGCCATATACTCACAGACTTGGCACTTCATAACGATATAATCGGCGATGTTTCTAATTCTCTCTCTTATGACACCTTTTTCTTGTAGCAACCGCCCGATTTCCTGGCCCCTGGCTTCCAAAGTTTGCTCAGCCACTTGATTTTGCTCCTGAAGTTGTTGCAAATCTATTTCTAATTGTGCCAATGCTGTATAACAATGTTCTCTTTCAAACTTGAAGTCTTTCCCCTGTTTGATCATTTTATTTTCCGTGGTGATGGCCCTTTTCTTTAATCCCGCGATCTCATCATCGTACTTTTCTTTCAACTACTTAACCAGGCGTGCTCGTTCATCTGCATTTTTAGCCAACTGTTTTCGAGCCTTGGCTAGTTCACTTTCTGCTTTGTTCAAATTAAAACTATAGTCGCTCACTTTCTGCCTCACGTTAGCTATGAGTTTCTCTTCTTTGGCACTTCGGGTTGGGTTTTCTGCCGCTATTTTCATTTTCTGAATCTGGGCTCGAAGGGCCTCATTTTCTATGGCTAGATTTTTCTTTTCTCCTTCGTCCGCCGCGGCTTGCAAGATATTTTCAAACTGAAGGTCCCTGACTTGTTTTTCCAATTTGCTTATGGTAGCCCTATACTCGTTTTCTTTGGCCAACCAGTCTCATTGCACTTGTGCTCCGTCAGTGAACTGTTGGACATGGGGTATCTTTGCGGGACTTTCGGGATCATGTTGCACGCAGGATATTTTACCATACCAAGAAATATAACTGGGCTCTACCTCGCCTCTGAATAGATCTCATACTTGAGTATTAGGCCCTAAGAATCTGCACTGATGCCAAATCCGACGCACTTTTTCTTCTAGAAAGGCAGCTTTTGGCTCTAACTCAATGACCTGCCGACTCAAATCTTCATCGTGTGGGATGTTCTGGTATCATCCTAATTGATGTAGGACTCTGTGCGGAGCATAAGCCTGGATACTTCGAAGACACATCAGCAGCAAAAAAACACCTCGACCGACATATAGATCACTTCATTGATCGAGAGCCACCCGATCGTCCATTCGATCTTGTTTGCAGTCAAAGATCTCAGATGAACATGCCATGATTCTGTACCACCCGGGAAATCATAACCCTCTACCCACTTTTCATGTTTTTGATGCATTCAAGGCCAGTCATACCACAATTCAAGTATCCGGGACGGTGGCAAAGGTGTTCCTCCATCCATAGTTGTAACAACATATTGCACCAAAGAACTTCCCTCCTTCTCGACAATGGGTCAATGATCGGTAAATTTCCACCAAGATCAACGGCACTATAGTCCCATTTGCCTTTTACATTATAAAGTTGGCTATCCCTACAAGTCCCAGCTCTATGTTTCCGTCTTTTCTAGGGCAAACAAAAATACCCAGGAACACCGCTATGAAAGCTAATCCTCTCCGAGCTTCCCACTTGTTTTGGTTTCCCGCGTGAGTAAGACCGGTATCTGGCGTTTCAAAGCCACGGGGATTCCCGTAACATCGATATAGAAAGTAAAAGATACAGAATCCTTTGGCCAAATTTCCGTCTCGGATGTCATGACTGATGCTTAACAAGTCCAAAAATTTATAAGGGGTTACTATTCTTGGTGCCACCGGGTATTGACTTCTAAGATTCCCTTCGAAACTGGCATAGCTTGCTATCGCTTCCAGTGTAGGAGTTAACTAGAAATCAGCGAAGTGAAATACATTATGCGCTGGGTCCCAGAATGGTATCAAGGCCTCAATCACGTCTTTTCTTGGCTTAACCTTCAAGAGCCCGATAAGACCACCCAATGCTTTTGTCACAGCCTTTCTTCTATCTTCCCCTAAATCATGCCACCACATATGTAGCTCTAAAGGGATCTCTTCACTGACTAAGAAAGGTTCATTTTGAATGGTGCTCATCCTGCACATTTATTAAGGTGATTTTAATTAAAAGGAAACTATGACTCGTTTTGACTCAAGAAAAATGACCATCCTTTTTTTCCAAATTTTTCACACAAATATCCGGCTTTGCCAATACGGCCTTTCAGCACTTCGAAAACAAAGATTCTAAGGCTGCGTCGGTTAGACAGCCAAAACCTTTAAAAGAGACTAAAAGTGGTTGTTCTTGAAAAACAGCCTTTCGGTGCCGATTTAGGGACATTTGGCTATTTCTGACAAGAATGGCATCACCCTAATTATTTTCAAATAAAAGTGAAATGTTCTTTTGTGTTATTTTTTGCAAAAAGGAAGTTGGACCCGATGGGGGTTGCCTACGTATCTCACACCCTCTGAGAATCAAACTGGCATAGTTCGGGAAAATTTTTTAAGAAAATAAACCCAACTTCTTTTTTCTTTTCCACAAAGATTTTTTTTTCCTATTTTTTTTAAAATTCACAAAATTCCCCTCTTTTTTTCAAAATTTCGGCAGAGTTTCAGTATACTTTTAGGGACATTGGTTTTCACCGCAGGTAATTACCTCACACTGCTATTTTCTTTTCCAAATCCTCTCCCTTTTATTCAAAAGCCAGTCAGCATGCAAATCCGAAGCAAATAAATGCACAAGTAGCAAGTAAGATGCATCAGGATGATCTTTTTATTTCGGGTACACCTGCCCTAGAAAGACCCAACCCCTGTGTTGAGTCTCCAAAGTCAAAATGCACATGATGCAAACAAATGTTCCTACTAGGGATCTGACATGAGGTATTGTTATACTAAGTTTTAAAAACCTGGGTTTATTTGTTCTAGACTTGGCTTACCCGAGTGGACAGCTCGAGCCGAGGGGGGCAGCGTACCGAGAATATAGAAGCTTCACTGGCTTTGCAACTTGTCTGAACCTCGTTCTAAATTTGGAATATGACTCTAACAGAAAAGAAGTCACACGAAGTGCACACCTCTTCATGATTTAGAAGACTTAGAGAGAAGAGGGATTTCGCAACAATTTATATACAGTTCACGGAATATCAAAGCGGTAAAAGGAATCAATTAGCACATTAGGCCCAAATTATGTAACAAAATCAAATAATGGATAAATCCAACTATAACAATTATTCTAAGCTCGAATTCTTGAATCCTGAACCAGAAATTCTGGGTTCGTTCCCCAGCAGAGTCGCCAGAGCTGTCACACCTCCTTTTTTACCTACACCCCGTGGAAGGGATGTATAAGGGAGTTTTTCCAATTAAAGGACAAACGAAACGGGATTATTTATTTAAAAATTTAGAGTCACCACTTGGGAGATTTATGGTGTCTCAAGTCATCGGTTTTAAATTCCGAATCGAGGAAAAGATTGACTCTGTATTACAGTCCGCGAACCAGAAATCCGAGTAAGAAATTCTGTAAACCTGGGAGAAGGTGTTAGGCATTCCCGAGTTCTGTGGTTCTAGCACGGTCGCTCAACTGTTATTTTGAGCTCAATTATTTGATTATAAAAACACCTTTATACCTAGGTGCATTTTAACTTTCAAACCGCTTTTATTTAATTTTTAAAGAAGATTAAACTTCGTTTAAAACACGTCTTTGGATCGCGCCATATGAAATGCACCCGCAATCCTAAACATATTTTATTCAACGTTTAAGATTTGATTTGGGTCACATGAAATGCACACCCGAGTTTAGGAAGGTAATATTATTGAAATAACGCGCTTAAAGCAACTACGCGTTTCAGCTTTGCGAGGGCCATGGAAATTCAACTAAATGGCACGCCTCGATTTCTAACGACTAAATTTAATTAAATGAGGGCCATGAATTTTGAAATTTTATTTGGCACGGCATCCCCCAAATTATTCTATTAAAGGTATTTCTAAACTTAGTTTTGAGGGCCATAACTATTGGCATCATTTAATATGACACACCTCAACTAATTAACGCGATCTAATTAATTAAAACATTAAAGGAACTTGAATCCTACTTTTAATACTAATGCTCAAACGAATTAGAAGGAAATCTGCCCGGAAGAGAACATGGTCAAATATTCGAAAGAAAATGACTTGGGCCATCAATAGCACTGAGATGGGAAAGTAAAAGGCAGGCCCAAACAACGACAGGCCCAATATCACAAATAAAACAGAGGTCTTGAACGCAATTGGTAGTGCATCCAAAGACACTAGGCCAACGCTAAAGGCCCAACTGCAGATTTCAACGCCAAATCAGGCATGAAAACTCAGAATTGTACACATTTTATTGAATGCCAATCATAAAACTATGTTAAGCACATGACCAAACTAACATCTTTGCTTCTTTGATTATTTAATCATAAAGCAACTAAAATTATAATTCTGATCTTGTCTGCACCTCGGACTCACGCTTGCCTTGGACTCACAAGACCACATCACAAGGTAAATGAACTTTGGGCCCAAACGAGCCCAAGCCAGATTTCAAGGCCCACTGCTGAAGGCTTTAAGACTCGATATCGAGTCTCCTCAGAAGCAGATAACATATGTATAACCTTCCTTCCTAACAATAAACAGGCCTCAACCTGCAAGGCTTGAAATGTATAGCTAAACTAGGGAAACTGAGCAGCATGCTCTCCATTCAACAACACTGGTCTCAACAGGCCAAAATAGACCTGAAACATACTTGACATTACTAAAATTTCTTTGCAGTAGTTCTTTACACACTCATACATAGGATCAGGGACCTTCAAACATTTAAGCTAAGGAAGTGAAAGGGAAATATTTATACAACACCATAAAAGAATCTACAAAGATAATGACAAGAAACTAAATAGCTTATGTGAGCCTAGGAGGACCATGAAGACAAAATATAATAGATTTCGAAGCTGGTAATGTAACAGAGAAGGGCAGCAATCAGTTTCTTCGACTCGAATTACATGATTCCAACACAAATAGCCATAACAAGCTTCATTTCTATTCAAAGTTTGAAGGAAATACCTGGAAATAAAATAGAAACCACAAGAGTGAAGAATCTGTAGCTAGCAGCGAGCAGCACAACACAGATTTGAGTAACAATCAGTAAAAACCTAAGTTCAACACAGGTTGACACACAGCAAGCCCCAAGACCCAAATCAATTCACACTTAACCTCAGATGAACCAAAATGCTGCAAACCTTTGAAAACTTTGCAGAAATCCAAACAAAAGACCAAAGGAACAGTGAAAACTTCAAACAAAACTAAACCCCAAAGCTTTTCCAGCAAAAGATCAAGCCATTTACACTTAAAGGCTTCAGAAATTATTTTGTAATCTAGGAACAGCTTAAGATTTTGGGCAGAATTCCAATGGAATAGTGTTTTTTTTTCTAAATTTCAATCGTCTAGTGTATTTCTGATTTTTTAGCTCTCCAAAATCTGACTTGAGCTCCAAGTAACAATGTCTTTATAGGCAAGCTACTAGGGCAGCCTCAAAGAGTTCAAAATTGCACTTAAAACCTTCTGAAAGTTACATTTTAGCTTAGAAATCCCTAGTGTAAACCTCAGAATTTCATAATAGCCCCCACCCCAGCTTATAGGAAGCTTCCTAGTTCGGTTATATACGATTCCCAAGCCTAGACTACCCAAATTACCCCTTAATGACCCTGTTATTACCCGAAGGAACCGGCCAAAACATGGGTCGATTCAACCCAATTGAATATTTACAGGTCTGGCCTAAACCAGTAAATCAAAGATCAGAGGCATAAACCCAAACCCAACCCAAGTCGATTTGATTGAAACAAAATGTTCATAACAGAGACGAGTATGAACAACAGAAATCAAGTACTGGACTAAGATTAAAGAGATTACCAGATAAAACTAACCTAACTAATCAAGCCATGTGACCTAACATTTTTTAAAATAACATGCATAATAGACACCCATAAACGAACACAAAAGACCTAACGGGACAACAAATAATAGAAGAAACGAAGAAGTAGAGGAGGAAAAGAACTGAGGAGAAGAAAAGAAACATACCCAAGAGGACCCGAACAAAAGGGCCTAAGTGACAGCCTTCAACTCATCGATTCCGGCCCAATCCGAAGTTAATCATATGTTCTTAATATCAAGAACACACGAGTAACATCAATTTAGGCCTAAATCTTCTAAACCTCGATGATTCTGACCTTTGGACTTGTAGGGTTATTCATTCAAATCTAGATTCGATGAGCTTCACCAATATTCGAGGGAAATCGACCCGGAATTTGGGAAGAGGGGGTCAGGGTGGTTCTGTGGTGTGATTTTGGGGCCGATTGGACGAGTTAGGGTTTTGGTCATCCTCTTCGATTCAAGATTCGAAGAGTTCTGATAAGATTCGATGAAGGGGTTTTGGAGATTTGGGAAGAGGGGAAGGAGGGGAGTCTATGGCGTTAATTTGGTGTCGATTGGAGTACCGCCGCCGGTGGAGACGATTTTCGGCAGGCGGTTCCGGCGGAGGTGATGAGGGTCTGGTAAAGGAGATGAGAGAGGGTAGGGGGGTTGTTTGGACAATTATATATCAAGATGAGGTTAGTTCTGGACCGTTAGATCAACTAACCTCGACGGTTGAGATTAAAGGATATCAAAACGACGTCGTTTCGGATGAAGGGGTGACCAGACTAGGTTGAGACCCGGGTTTGGGCCAGGTTTCAGTGCATAACAATTGGGCCGGTGGTTGGATTTTAGCCCAACAGATATTTAATAGCAAATTCCTTTTCTCTTTTTCTTTTTCTATTATTCCTCTTTTCTTTTTTCTATAATTAATTGAAATCCCAAATTAACCCCTAACTTGATCTAATCTTTAAAATTAGGCTAATTATCTACTATGATATTTACAGAAATTAATTACTCCTAAATAAAAAGTGAAAATTACTAATTTAAAGCTAAAAGGCTAAAAATGCAAAAGTAAGCCAATTTTTGTAATTTTTTCATTTTTTAAAACAACTAATTTGCTAATTAATCCTAGAATATAGAGTTAAATACTACATGCAAATGCCACATATTTTTGTGTTTTTCATTAGTTAAAATAAAATAAACATGCACAGCCGAATGCAAACAATTAACAGAAAATATCACAAAAATCCACAAAATTGCCAACACTGAAGAAATTATTTTGTTTTGAATTTATGGGAGTAATTCATATAGGGCAAAAATCACGTGCTCACACCAACAAAGAAGTAAAGTAAATTAACAATATAACTACAGAATAGAAAGAAGGAGCTAATGCATAGAAATTAAATTGATAAATGACCTTGTCATAAGAGGGACCATGTTGGCGATGTTTCGAAGCATAAAAGCTTCACCGAGCTAAAAATTCAGCACATGAGATGGGTTCACTCGTGAATCGGAGCAAGCAAACACCAGAAACTGTTACATGGTTGGATACATGATTTTTAACTATGGAAAATTAAATTATGAAGTATAAAAAAGAAAAGAAATCTTCCTACTGGTTGAGCTAATTCAGTGCCTGAGAAGTCACAACTCGTACATTGTGTGACTAGCTAGTTATATTTTACCAACCAATAAATTTTTTTGCTGTGATAACTAATGCAAAGATACTAAAAAGCATTCTGGTACACAAGGCATCCCTCATTTACGCAGGGTCCGTAGAAAGCCTGTACCCGAAGGGTGTGATATAGATAATCAGATATGTGTGAATAAAGTCTCACATTGAAAGTAGAAAAGGAAAAAGATTCTACTTATAAAGAGGTGGATACTCTTAATGGTATGAGGTATTTTGAGGAAAAACATGCGGACTTGGTCCAAAGCAGACAATATTACACTATGTTAAGAGTATCTTTGGTAAAGGCGGATCTAGGATTTAATGTTTATGGATTCCTGCAACGACTTCGAGTAAATTTCCAATAGTAACTGGGTTCAAATTTAAATATTTGTAGATATTTAATGAATTTTTAGAACACTTTTACACTGTTTGGACAAAAGCTACTGGGTTCACGGGAACCCATATATGACATGCTAGATCCGCCCCTGATCTTTGGGCTATTTTATTCCAATACCCCTAATCTATAGGTCACACAACGATAACTTTACGCTTACTCTAAGGCATAAAAAATAACAAAAGTAATAAGATCTTTTACCTTGGGTTCCTGTCCTTTCTTGAGTTTCTCAAATAATTCTGGATTTTTGCTGATACATGTAAGAAATTAGTTTAATTAGGTTGTGTCATTTCAAGGTTATTTTGTTTAATTATCATTGTGTGAATATTAATGACACACTTTTAACATGTTAGGGAAAAGAAAAAGAAGGGAACATAGGGGCTTTACTCATATATCCCTGTTTTGAAATAATAAAAGCCACTTTGGAAACATATCTTTGTTAAGATACACTCGGATCATAAGCCTATCCTTGTTAAGCTCAATAATATTACTCACCACTGTGAATAGAATTTTAGACTTGAAAATATTTGGTGTACTCATCCTAATTTGGGTAATATAGTTGCAAACCAATGGAAGAATAAAGATCTAATGGGGGCAACCAATTCCTTCACTACCTTTATTATGAAATGGGGAAATGACCACTTTGAAAACATATTTAGCGAAAAGAAATTGCTTCTAGCCAGAATAAATGGCATACAAAAATCCCCTTATGTTTCCTCTAGTTTTTTCCTTCAAAGTTTAGAAAAATATCTAATTAGAAATTATAATAACATTCTCAAATTAGAGGAAGACTATTGGAAGCTTAGATCTAGAATCACCTGGCTAAACGAAAGGGATGCAAATGCTAGATTTTTTCAAATAAGTGCATCTAACCGGAGAAGAAAAAACCATATTAGCTTTTTTAAGAATAGTGAAGGAGTATGGATTAACAATCACCTTGACATTATTAACCATACCCTTGATCACTTCTCTAAGTTATTTTTCACTAGTCACACCCTTACAGATATGACTCACTTACTTCATAGCACAACTAGTTTCCATACAATAGATCTATCTGTTTTGGACAGACCCTTAATAGATGAAGAAATTAATAGTGTTATATTTTCCTTCAAACCTTTTAAATCTCCCGGACCGGATGGTTTGCATCCTTTTTTTTACCAAAAATATTGGAAGATAATAGGAGATTCAATGAATGTTTTTTGTCACAACGTTTTTAAGGATAATGCTATTCCTCCAGAAATAAACTCTACTTACATTTGCCTTATCCCCATATTTCCTAATGCTAACTNTTTTTAAGGATAATGCAATTCATCCAGAAATAAACTCTACTTACATTTGCCTTATCCCCAAATTTCCTAATGCTAACAACCTCAATAATTTTCGTCCTATAAGCCTATGTAATACTATTTACAAGATAATCACCAAAATTATTGCAAATAGGCTAAAACCTTTTCTAAACAATCTCATCAGTCCTATTCAATCTAGCTTCATAAAACATAGGAGAGCTAGAGACAATGCTATAATAATCCAAGAGCTCATTCACTCTTTCAGAAAAGCAAAAGGAAACAATGGGACAATGTTAATAAAAATTGACCTTGAGAAGGCATTTGATAAACTTGAATGGTCCTTCATATACATGACTCTTTTTTTCTTCAAGTTTCCTCCTAATATTTCTAAACTTATTATGTCATGTGTAGTGACTTCATCCACTTCTATTTTAGTAAATGGAACAAAAACTATATTTTTTCAACCTAGTAGAGGGATTAGGCAAGGGGACCCTATGTCCCCCTATATTTTTATTCTATGCATGGAGCTGTTATCAAACTATATAAATCACCTAGTAGATATAAGAAGTTGGAACCCTATCTCCCTTAGTAAAGACTGCCCCCAACTATCTCATTTGTTTTTTGCAGATGATTTGGTTCTAATAGGCAAAGCAAATAATAATACAACCTCTTCTATAAAATATGTTCTTAGTCAATTTTGTGCCATCTCTGGGCAGACAATAAACGTTAAAAAATCTAGGATAATATTTTCAGAAAATTGTGATACGACAACTAGATCTAATATCTCTAAATCCCTTGGCATTAAGGAGTGCAATTCTTTTGAGAAATATCTATGTTTTCCCATCATTAGCAAAAACCCCAGTCACAAAGACTACCAATTTATCATTGATACCATAAGGAGTAAGCTCTCATGATGGAAATGTGACAAACTTAACCTAGCCGGTAGATGCACCCTAATTACATCTACTCTAGCAAGTCTACCTGCTTACTACATGCAATATACTATGCTTCCCCCCAAAACCCTTAAGACTATTGACCAAATTCAAAGAAATTTCCTTTGGGGCTCAACCGAAAATAGGAAAAAACTACATCTAGTTAATTAGGGTATTGTTACTTCACCTAAACAGGAAGGGGGGGCTGGGACTAAGGAAAGATCGGTCAAAAAACATAACCCTACTAGCAAGTCTAGCATGGAGATTAGCAAACAATACCACTAATCTTTGGGCTTCAACACTTCTTAAAAAATACTCTCATAAGCCAAAAGATAAGGGCTCCTTCATTTGGAAAAGTGTGATAAGGGGATGGGAACTATGCCAAAACGGTCTATCTTGGACTATTCATAATTCTTCAACCCTCAACTTATGGGATAATAATTGGATAACCAACTCCAAAGCCCTTAAAAGCTATGTCATTGTCCCTTTAACTAAAGAGGAATCCTCCCTTAGGGTATGTAATATTAGAACTAGGAATAATTGGGATTTGGGTAATATTTTCTTAGATATCCCTAAGGAAATTATATCTAAAATCCAATCTAACTTTAATCACAATGACACCAAATCTGATTTTTTATCCTGGGATAGTAACTCAAATGGTCTATTTACGACCAAGTCTTGTTACGAACTTTTGGAAGGGAAAGTTCACCCTGAAATCAAAAGTGACTGGATCTAGGAATTGCACTGTCCTAATAAAATTAAGCACTTTTTGTGGCTATGCAACCTCAATAGATTGCCACGTAGAAAATACCTTTCCCATATTGGCATAAACATAGATGAAATATGTACTATTTGTCGTAAAGAACCTGAATCTCTTAAGCATATTTTTCTCGTATACCCAAATGCTAAAACCTTTTAGGATAATCTGGGAACTGACACTTCCAATTCTCATCTTTCAAGCCAAACATGGCTTCATTCTCTACAATTAAAAAGTCCCATGATTCCCAATAAGTTAATCAATTGGAACACTTTGTTTCCCTTTATTATCTAGAATATTTGGATTACTAGGAATAGTAACAATATTAATAATACTACCATTCGCTCATACCTCAGTAAGATCATTGATCAATAAGTCGAATACGTGTTACTTACAAATAGGGAGTCTAATTGGGATAGGAAAGTCATTCTCACCATCAGTTGGACGAAACCTTGTAGGGGATGGTATAAACTAAACAGATGGTGCCTATAATAAGGAAAAATGTATAGGAGGCATTGGAGGGATCATAAGGAATGAGAAAGGGGACTGGCTAATTTGTTTTACTTCAAAGATAAGTGTAAAAAATCCAGTTCAAGCGGAACTCATGGCTCTCTATGAAGGACATTGTATTGCAAATAACAGGAAACTCTATTCGTAGGAAATAGAGACTGATGCTACACAGGTAATCACTTTTATTCGTGATGGATGCAAAACTTATGATTCTATTATAAATTGTTGCAGGTTACTTCTGGCACAAATGGGCACTGTGGAAATGCATCACCTCTTCAAGCAGGGGAATGAGGTAGCTCACAAATTGGCAAAACATGGAATGACCAGCTTAGTCTCAAATAAATTAGCATTTTGGTTGTATCCACCACCTTTTGTCTTGGCCAGGATGCTAGCAGACAAGTGTGGTGAAGTTTGTGAAAAAATAAATTCCGTTAAGTGTTGTAGAACTCTAGCTGCTATGGGTAATTCGCATGCCATGCATGGGTTACCATCTATCCTTGATCATCATGATCAAAGCTACTCTTATAATGCTTAGTACTTATGTTTAATAAATAAGTATCTTTATGTTCAAAAAAAGAAATAATAAAAGCCAGTCTTGATCCTTTGAACAGGGTCGAAGGAATTGCAGCTTGTCGTATGTAACTCAGATGTGATTTCATCAATTCTTTCTGCTACAACCGGTTTCAGTTCTTCCTTCTCACTTCAATTGCATGGTTTCAAAATCCAACACCCATAATTATTAATGCTATTGGTTTATTAAATTGCTACTTAAGCAAAAAATGTATATTCGTATGCAAGTGCTATTATGTACCACACTATTACTCCTTTAGTACTTATTACTTTATAATGAATATAGAATTTATATAAACATATATGTTACAATATAGTTCAACTACGTAAATATATTTATTATCATTTCTGGAATAATCATTCAAATATAAAATGAATTTTCAATAACTTTTATAAAAAACTGTTTTAGCAGCTAGATATTTGAAAATATTTTTGTTGAAGAAGTTTTAAAACACAACTTTGAACAAGTACTTAGGTTAAAAGGAACAACTTTGGTTCTTTCTCTAAATATTTAAAAATAAAAGTATCTTACGATTCCTTTTTAAAGCATATATGAGTTAATGTTGTACATACGATGGTCCAAACCTGAGGATGTTCTGGAGTGAAACAATGGCCTTCTCGTAACTTCCCTTTGCCATGTCTTCTCTCTCTGCAATTCCCCATTTTTAATCAGAATTTAGCAAACATACTTTTCTCTCTCTCTACATATGGTGAAATCAAAAGGTAGAGATATATATAGACATTAAAATAGTTGGTGAGTGGCGTATCTAAAATATGTGCAAAATAAAAATAAAAATTAGAGGTCAGTTTAGATTTCAGAAATGGCAAAAGAGGAACTATGATAATCCATAAGTTGTATATGTTTAGCACGAAGAAAGTTACAAGCCAAGAAAGATGTTATGAATAGAACAAAGTCCTACATAATACGAATTGTGTGGTAGCCATCACAGGTGCAGGATTGGCTAGTGTACGACGTTGTTTAATTTTATGTATTCACTAATTTTTCATACGATAACTCAAATAACCTATTCACATAACATAAAAAGGCTAAAAGATGGCCCTATTACTCGTTTGGCAAGAACTTTAATTTACTCCATTGACATGTCCATTTAATTTGGTTGATTTTGAAGTTTATTTAGAGCTACCACATGCACATGACGAAATTGAAGAGTACACTTAAGAAGAAAATCACTTCTTTTTCTCTCGTTTTTATTCTCTAGGTTCTTCGTGTGTATTCCAGACAACAACTATCTTAATTTCGGAGATTAATGATAACACGGTAAAAGGTGAATTAATGATAAGACAGTCACGTATGCTAGCAGTGTATTGTTAACAAGGTTTACTTGGCTAGATAAAAAGACATTAAAATCATCTAAATAGGTTACATGCACCAACAATATAATTATGTATGTATTTAAATTTTTGCATAGAACTGATTATACTCGAAAGAAATAGGTTGTAAAGTCTAATCGCCTCTAATTTCAATCAGATTATATTTTCTCAATGTAAATTTTTTTATACTATATCATGTCGACTAAAGAATATCTATAGGTAAGCTTAAAATGTGAAATTTGTAATCTTAAAAATAAAATAAGCTAGTATGCTATAACATGTAAAAATGACTTGATGATGTAAAAATTCAACAATATACACAATGTAAACTCTAATATAAGCTATATATACCGATCACGACAGAACGAAAGAAGGTGAATTAAGAAATGGTGAGAAGGTATATATATATATATATATACACACCAAAGTGGGGTGATGATGGGAGGAAGCTGAAGAGTTATTAAGTCTCGCAAAAACAGAAGGGAGTAGAAATGCGGGTGGGA